TTCTTTTAACTAATTCAAAAGCACAATCCTACCCGAGATATTTTTCTTTAAGAAACAGAAAACTATAAAATTAGTCAAAAATATTAGAAGCGAGAGCACGTCAGTTTCTCTCACAGTGATAAGAAGCCAGATTTGCTAACTGCCCTTCTAATTAAATAGAATAACACTAAATTTTTACAAAAGAGAAAAAAATGAAATTTTTTGCTATGAAGCCCAAGTCAAGTGACTCCTTCAAGTCAAAACACGTTATCAGTTAAGTCGATTCACATTTAACACTAGGTCGGCAAATACCAACGATTTCTTGTTTGTGTGAAAATCTGCTAAAATACTTCACAAGTTGAGAACTTACTGAATCCTGGTCCACCATCACAATGAGAATATAATAGCTACATGTGTGAACCAAAGATGTCATAAAGAAACAATCATACAAACGTAAGATGGACATGTCTAATACCAACTCTGATAACAACCTTTCTATTTCTTACTACAATCAACCACTTCTTCCATGTCAAAAAGACTCATTCAAAAAGCCATGGCAAGTTTTACCAGTTCTTTTCTACTATGGAGTTAGCTCATGTTCGTTGCTCATCGTTGTGGCATTACTGTGTACAACACTTGTGAAAAGAAAGAAAGAAAGAAAGAGGTATGTAGGATTGTTGTGAAATTGATATACAACGTATTCTCAACGTTAACTAGAAATGTGAGTAATGGGAAAAAGAGGTTTGTTTCATACAAAATGTGCCTAGAGTCAGTTAACTCTCATATTCGATTATTGGTTCCGTTTCAGGTGGTGCCTCCAACCTTGTTAGGACCTCAGGTTCTCCTGCAGCATTCCTTACGATCTGCGCCCAACCAGCAGATATCATGAGAGTTTCATAAATACTCAAGGTTCAATTCATTGAACTAACTTCTGCCATATAACAGCAGCAGTACTTGGTTCACAGTTTATATGCATACATTAGAAGGCATAAAAATCCGAGCTAACTTATCAGTTGTGCAAATTCTAGAATCATTAACCATTTTCCTTATGATTTAATAGTTTACATCATAAAAGTATTCTCAGTCATCAATCTAGTGAAAAAGCTAAGAGGTTAATACAAACAATTCTGTATTCAAGCACTAGAAGATTGTGATGCTATATACTAACCGTGGATGAAAAATTTATGTAATAGTGCCTTTTAGAAGTAAAAAATATAGAGATGACTCACCAGGATCTCGTCGTCAAGGTAAGAAATCATAATAAGTCTCTGAAAGGTCCCTCCTGACATCGTAACAGCCCAGAGTGAGAAGCAACAGAAATAAATGCCTAAAGCTTAAGCAATAACATATAAATCTAGAAAAGATACTTTCTTCAATCTGCTATTTTTCTAATCCTCTTTAGCTTATTCCTTGTATTTCAAGATATTAGAGTATGCACTCATCATTAATGACATGAAGCCTTTAAGAAGCATAAACAAAGTAACCAAAAAAGACAAGATTGGAAATTCAAGAAATATCAATGTGCTGAAGTTGAATGAGTTCTCGACAGTGGCTAAGCTGGATAAAGTCAAACTAAGTCTTGCTTGAAGGCAAGTGCAAGCAGATGAATAACTCCGCATGGTTTTTACAGATGCTATAAGATTTGAGCATTTGAAGAATTGATCGACTCGATCGACAGGCTTCGAAGAGCAGGCATCTCAATGAGACAAATGCTTGTTGATATGTCAAAAAACTTAATTCTACCTCCATCTCATCTTTACTGTCCCATTTACGAAAATGGACCCTAATGATATTCCCCTAACCAAAAAGAGATGCTTTATTCCAAACTACCCTTTTATTTGGAATGAGTAGAAAACTAAAAAATCATATAATTAGGTAGATGAAGAAAACAGGAAGGAATTTCAGAAAATAAGTGGATAGATTAGAATATCACTTTTACTAATCAGAGTATTTTGTGGATGAACGATATCATTTGGCAAGTAACCAAACAAGCCAGTGTCTGCAAAATCCTAAGCAAAGAAAAAAAGACTGCAAATTTCCAGAATAAAAGGGAAACAGAATTGGCAGACATTTACTAATCCTATATCATAATTCATGAGGCAAAAGATAGCAAATTAAAATTAAAATTAAAAAGAATACTCCCTCCGTCCAATTTATGTGATGGTGTTTGACTAGGCACAGAGTTTAAAAAAGAAAAAAAGACTTTTAAAACTTGTGGTCTAAAATAAGCCTAGATGTTTGTGCGGCTATAAATCATCTCATTAAGATAAAATGGGAAGTTTAAAGTATTAAATTGTTTCTAAATAAGTATGACATTCTTTTTGCGACAGACTAAAAAGGTAAGTACGACACATAAATTGTGACGGAGGGAGTAATTCATAAGGCAAGTCAGAGAAAGATATTCATAGGCCTGAACACACTTTTCTCCATCTAAGGTATACACAGCAAATTGGATTAGCCCATTTGCCAACATTTGCACATATCATGGTTTTAGCTCTCTTAACAAGATACAGTATCTCTGCATTAAATGAGTAAGAAGTATGTTTTAGTTGATAACAAAGATCAAATCGTACAGTAATACTGAAATCTCACCGAGAGGAACTTTCACCCCACTGGACACAGCATCTTTAATGGGGACAGGAAGTTGTTGCACAGTGTTAAAAGCCTGGCCAAAAGCACCTCTCAGTTGTTCAGGTACAGCTTCCTCATTGACCTTTGGAGATTCAAATGTCCCTTCAACATACTCTTCTTTCATACGAAGAGGCCCCTCAACACTATACTTGGTGGAGATGATAAACTTATTCTCAATCTGCATTTTTGCCACAAGTATTTTCACTTCTTCAGATATCTATGATCAGATATACTAATAATTCACTAACATTTCACAATGATCTCAACTGATAAATTGAAAGAAGCAACACCCTGAGTCCTTGATTAAGACTCAATTGATATTGACCAGTGTAGAACTAATTGCCAGCTTGCAAGAATCAGGGACCAAGCTTAAGTTAATGCGAGGTAAAAAGAATACTCATACCGGCAAAAGTTATGCGGTAATCTATATATAATTTTATGGAGGACAGAATGTAGAGAAGGAATAGTGTATTAGCAATACTTGGATAAAAGTATCTAAAGATAAAAAATATTTTAAAGTAACAATCCTTATATAATTATTCACCTTATAACAGTCCATAGATTATTATTCAACGTGTAGAAGTCACTACATTATTATTCATCGCATAATAATCCCCCATATTATTCTCCTCATAACTAGTTTGTGAACCAAACGACCCCTTCATTTGTAGAAGTTTTTAGTATTGTTTTACTTTTAACTTTCTAGTTAGCACAGGGAAGATTAATTTCTGAATACTAGCATGGACTTTATGTATCAAATTTTCTGACAAAGATAAATTACCGAATTTAGTAATTTGACTTGTGCAGTGGCAGTCCCATATCCATCCTTGATCAGCACATCTAATTTTGATAAATTTGCCAACGTCGGAGGAATTCTCCTGCAACAGCATATTTTGGTAGAAACATCATTAGCTGACATTCATCGAACTAACCTAAAAGCAAAACCACGATCAGCTTCAAGTTAGCACATTGGCTAAAAGTGAACAAGCATACATGCACCAGCAACTTAAGTAATGTGCCAAATAGAACATTTAAGACTCTAACAAATAGCCTACTCCCTTTAAAAGAAAAATGCCTTGCTAACAGAGAATCAAGACAACAGATTCTGGTTCACAGCTCATCCAGCCACGGGCATATCCAAGAGGAAGAGTATGGGTTCGCGTGCATCACCCATGCTATCCTCCTTTAACTATGTAAATATAGCAACGTTATATCTCTTCGAAACTATTTAAATATATGGGTCTACACCCAAGATCAAAGAGTCATATGGTGCAATGGTTACTGGGTGAACCTCTACAAGTGAGGTCAAGGGTTTAATTCCCACGTCCATCTAGCATTTTATAATTAAATAACTTTTTCCTTTGTCTTCCTTTTTTTGATTGGTTTATACTTTCAAAATCCCCTCCTAGACCATGAATAGTCGATGAGTTCAACTAATCCCGATATTTTTGACAAGGAGTATAGGTATATATGTAAAATTCCAAAAAACATAAATTGAACCTATAATTTCAAAAGTGTGATGGGGTCAACGGTAAGAACCTAAAGGTTGAACCCATCAAATTGAAACCCGAATCCGCTTATTCATAATAGTGTACCTGTACCCCATATTCCTGAAATGCTGGATCAGCATCCAGCTTACACATATCTTTCAGCAACATTATTCTGTAACACCTCTTTGATGGATTGTCAAATCGTAGCATTAGCAAGAACAGAGATCAATGATAGTGGCAGGAGCTTCAGAGCAACATTTGTTCAAAGTCAAGCATTTGTTTAAATATGGTTTCTTAGAATGAATGGAAAACAGTGGCTCTAGGAGGAAGCTCATCAACTTTCTTCTTCGAAGCTAAGTTCTGTTATATTAGCTCATTGACTTGATCAGTAGTTTTATAGCATTCATAGAGAACTTGAGGGGGCAGGTACCTTACTGAAACAATATGAGCAAACAAGATTAGGGAGGTACGGCACTATATAGTTTTTTGGGGTTGTCGCATGGGATTTTTCAACAATTTAATATATCATCTCTTATATTTTATTGCATGCAGGGGATCATAGATATTTTTAGGGAAGTCTAGTTTTCCCTTTCACAGTTTTCAGCAATTGGGAAGATAGCAAGCATATCTACTTCTCGGTTCATACACTAAAGAGTTGATTTAAGTTGGAACAGGGGGAAAAAAAGAGAACGTTATCCCAAAATATAGAACTTACCCAAACAAAAATTTGGCAAAAATGAGTACCGGGCTACCAGCTCCAAACCACTCAAAATTCCATAGGCCTTCCAAATTGTTAGACCTGAGTAATGAAACCACCAATGAATACCTTGTCAAGAAGCTTGAAAGATAAATTTGTCAGTAAGATTTAACACCTTACGTTGTGGGACGAGGTGTCGGATTGAGCCTCTCGAGACCAATGATCCTCTCATTCACATCAATGCGTTGTACATCTGTTATCTTCCCAGTGACCAATGCCTCAAACCCACCAGCATCCTTGAACTATAATAGAATAAATAATTTCTTTTTTACTGCTTAAGGGACAAAAAAAAGTATAGAAGAGCAATTCCTTAAAAATAAACAGTGCAGTATAATCAATAATATTGTTCTTCAAACCTTTCCTCCCCCCATACCCAAAATTTTTATACTCATACGGTATCCTATACCTTGTGATTAATATATGACACCAACTTCTACGCCCAACCTAACACTGAAAACGAACCAAAAACCAATTTCCCAAAGAAAAGAAATTCTTACAAAAAGGATTTTCAATGGAAGACATCTTCCTTCATACCAAACGACCTCATTTAGTGAAAAAAATCATCCATCTCTATATGACATTGTCTTCTCACACATAAAAAAAAAAAAAAGCACAATAACATCAAAGAATTACCTCTCCCATTAAAAGAAAGGAAAGATTGAAACTTCTGAAAATATAGATACATACAAACAATCCTTCATCTTACAGTGATACCCATTTCTCCTTATATTTATATATATATATATATATATATATAGGTACCCTTTTCTTCTTACACTTAATGAGCAAATATAAACACTTGTATTCATATGGATAAAAAGATTCTACCTATGTTCCGGTTTATGTGACCCTACTTTTCTGATGTGTTCAAGAAAGAATGATTACTTTTTAAATTTTAAAATAATTTAACTTAAAATTATTTATTTAACATAATAAGAAGTTTTTATAGCTACACAAATGTTACCGACGTGTTTATTTACTTTCTTAAATTTCGTGTCAAATAGTTTCACATAAATTAAAATTGAAACGGGGAGTAACAAAATTGGACTTCAGGCATTAGAAGAATGAATACTGCAAGACTAAATCACAAAAAAGAAAAATCTAAAATGGAGTTAAAAAGAGAGGGAAAAATGACTACTGACAGCAAGAAGAAGAGACTCTTTAGCAGAAAGCCGTTCCATTTCTTTAGCAAAAGCAGAAGCAGCCCCTCCTCCTTGTACTGTCTGCTCCACCATTGCTCTACACATACCCTTTAACTTGTTTCTTGCATTTCTGCGTCGGAAAATGGCAATTGGAGAAGAAAGGGATGGAAACGACGACATATTGCTCAAACGCCGGCAAGAAAATGGTGGAACTAAATTTTGAATTGAAGTAGCCATTTGACACTCAAGATGAAAATTCTGAATTGGGATTTTGGGGTTGAACAAAAATTGATTCTATTTGGTTTTAAGAAGAGGAATTGGAGAATGTGGTTCTGCTGGAAAGTGGAAAATTTAATACTCCTAGTTTGCTCTCAAATTCATGTACCCGTTTTTGTGTGACAACTGAAGGTCGTATACCAGGGGCATTGTTGGAAAATAAAATTTGGAGATTGGGAAAAGAATGTATAAGGAACCGGAAATAAGGGTGGCATGTGGGACGGGTCCGGTCCTAAGTGGGCTTCGTGACCCGATTTTAAGTGGGCCCGGTCTCAAATTAAATGATCCTAAGTTGGCTCGGGCTTCGCGGACTTCTTGTTGGAACCAGCCCGGGATCGGAACCACGAACTAATAGTCCCGGACTAAGTGGGCTTAAGCGGGTCCAAGTGGGCCTAAGTGGGCCCAACAGATACTTTCTTTTTTTTTTTAAGTTTTTATAGAAGTTAGAGAAAATAAATGGTAATAAAAATATGTAAGGCAATTTCTTGTAAATTATATTATAGAATTGTGACCTAAATTTTTTAATTCAAATTTAAAGACAAAAATATTGTAAAGAGATATTCAAAGCAATGCGTTATAAAATATATATATATATATATATAATATTAAAATTTAAGATGTTAAATCAAACACATAATAGTAATCATTTTTGTCAATTCTTCCCGATCTTTTTTTGGATCATAATATAAGAGAGATTGAGAGAGATTGATAATTTTGTGAGAAAAATGAAAGAATGAGGGGGTATTTATAGTTGAAAATAGAAAAAAAAGTATAATTATAAGAAGTTTGGGGTTAAAACAAAGTTGGGGGGTTAAATGGTTATTTTATAAATAGCCAACGGCTATTTTGGCAGAGGAAACGGCTAGATTTTAAATGCCCAAACAGACAGATTTTTTTTTTTAAAATTATGGCCGTTGGGACCGTTTAGGCCCGCTAAGACCGGTCCGGTCCCGGTCCCAAACGGTCTGGTCTCGCGGGCCTCAGGCTAAGAACCGGCCCACTTGCAAGGCCCACCTCCCCGGTCCCGGTCTTAAACGGTTCAGCCCGTTTAGGCCCACTACCCACATGGTTCGCGGTCCTGGGCCATTCCCGGTCCTGGACCGGCCCACTTGCCAGCCTTAACTGGAAAACAGTCTAATCCATGATATTTCTTTCGTGTTTATTTGATGTAGTTTGACTGAATATAAAATACGGAAAAAGTTCAAATATTATCCTGAATTAATGAAAATAGAGTAATTATGTCATTCGTTTATATTTGGGTACAAAATTACCCTTGCCGTTAATAAAGTGGTTCACTTTTACCGCTCCCCACTAACATACTTCACATCAAGGACAAATTTATACCCAAATACAAACGGAGGACATAATTGCTCTATTTTCAATAGTTCAGAGGCATATTTGACCATTTTTCGTATAAAATAATACTTTTTTGCTGAGTTGAAAACTCATGTTGGAGAAAAAGTCTTCTCTGTAAAAAAAAAAATAGAGAGGGAAAGGAATATCTTGCCATATCTTTTACGTAGTAATTACTACAATGACGGGAAATCTCACCGGAAAATCCCTCCGGCCAGCTGATCACAACCTCCTGCTTCACTTTTTTTTACTTATTATTTTCTTACTGGATCAAATTCGTGTGATTTGATTTTTATATTCTTTGAACTCCTAAGTCATAGCATATAAGATAACCAAACAATACCCCATTAGAGGGACTCAAATCCAGATCTGCTCAAAGGATACAATGCCATTGTTCATTATTGATGTATCCGTAATAAAATGACTTTTTACATTGTAATATCAATTCTTAATGCAAAATCTTATTATTAGAGCACCAAGTAATTAATGGTGAATTTTTTTTCGTTTCGTCTTCCCATTTTAATTTGCAACCGCATATAGATACATCCATAAGTTACTATCCTTGATGTGGAGTCTGTTAGTGGGGAGGGACAAAAGTGAACCACTTTATTAACGACAAGGGCAATTTTGTACCCAAATGCAAACGGAAGGCATAATTGCTCTATTTTCAATAGTTCAGGGGCATATTTAACCATTTTTCGTATAAACTATTATAAATTTATGATCTAAAAGAAATTATACATATTTAAGTGATTATATATCATTTTATTAAAAATAAATAAGACTTTTAAATTTTAAGTTNATACATACAGTCAGACCTCTCTATAACAACATACCTATATAACAACACTTCACTATAAAGGTCAAGCTTTTTCAGGAATCAATTTTCGTGTTATGTTATTCCGAATATTTTTGAATGTTATAGCGAAGTGTTGTTATAGAGAATATATATTATAACATAACATGAAAATTGATTCATGAAAAAGCTTGGCCTTTATAATGAAGTGTTGTTATATAGGGATGATGTTATACAGAGGTTTGACTCTATATATATATATATATATATATATATATATAGAAGGGTGGGTGACATTATATGAAAAATATTATAACAATTTGCCTACCATAACACAAGCACTGAAGTGGAGTCAATAACTCAATGAAAGGATGTTGATTTGTCACTTAAGTATAAGAGAACACACACATATATATATATAGAGAGAGAGAAGGGTGGGTGGGTGACATTATATGAAAAAAGTTATAACACTTTGCCTACCATAACACAAGCTCGGAAGTGGAGTCAATAACTCAATGAAAGGACGATTTGTGTTTTAAGTACAAGAGAAGATGTTTGAGTGAAATAAACTGTCTTTTATGAACACAAAGCAAAAATTGTCAGATTATCTTTAAATTTACTAAGAAAAATACTTCTTTTTTGGTAATAAGGAAAAATACATATTCACGCATCAAACCAGTTATTGCAATATAACTTTAATCACTTACCGAATGCACGTAAATTATTAATATATTATATTTACATTAATTGAAACCCAATTATCTGTATCCTGGCTAGCTAACTAATCTGACATTACCTTAAGAAAAAATGGATAACTTCAATTTGATTACAAATAGTCTACTGTTGATAGTAAGTTATGTCTTCATCATCTCAAATATTTCTACCGGAAGAAGTTAGAATTTATAATTTCTTCTCAAAAGCAAAAAAATTGCTTATGCTGCACAAAACTGCTTTTCCAGTTCTCCATCTTGGCTAAATACATCAAAGTTCCAAAAATGTACTTGTGACCTCCTAGAAGCTTGGCAAAACAGGCTCTAAGGCAATTATCTTACGGTAAAAATTTGCTCGTACAAAGTTTTTATATCAAACTATACTAATTTATTATTGTTAAGTGATAAATTAAGGGTAGAGTCTGTATTATTTGACTATGTTTTAGTAATAATATACTTATAAAAATATGTGTTATTTATTTATTGGATTGATGTAAACACATGACGCAAATAAATTTTTACCTATATGTATTAAGAAAAGAGCTACTAGCAAAATTATTGCCTAAGAAATGGCACAGTACCCTTAGTGTTGTACAAATAATGCTTAGCATGGATTCTCATGCAACAGCTTGTTTGGATGATTGTTATGTATCGTTTCATAATATATCGTATAGTATTGTATTATATTGTACCGTATCGTCTTGATGTATACAATATTTGGATAAATTGTATTATTTTCCATCGTTTCATGATATTATGCACCAATAATATGAAAAACAAACTTGCAATATTATAAAGAAAAAGTAAGACAAGATGTAATATTATTATATAAAAAGGAAAGGTAAAGGATAAAATAGAATTTTTTTAATAATAAAAAAAAAGAAAGATGAGAGAAAAAAATAAGAAAACGACACGACCACACCAAATCGGTCGTTCCATAAAGTGACACTTTTAGTCGTTACGTAACGACAGATTTAACAATACGATACAATAAAATTTAAGTAACAATCAAAATAAATATTATATTTAAAGTAACAATACGATACAACATAATAGGTAACAACCATCCAAACAAGCCGTAAATGGACAAGTGGTTATTATATATGTGCACTTTGATGAATGAAAATCATTTTCAGATAAACAGTAGAATAACCATTTTATTTTCAGAAAATAGTAATAAGGTTCAGTCTACGCTCAGAATGCATCAGCGAGGTTGACTATGTTATGGGCAGTAAAAATAATTATTTCACTTTGTTTCATTTTTTGTCAGACTCTGTTTATGTATTGATTCACTTTTAGTAGCTCATGGCTTGTATTATCCGATCGTATGTTGTATGTAAGCTTTCATTGTCACAGCCCCTGTTTCTCTCTATAGAATGTCGTAACGGCACCTAGTTTCTACGACTAGGTAAGTCTAACACTTATTGAATAAACTGATAGAAATTAACCAACAAAACTATTAAACAGATATCGGATATTTCTAAATGAACTCAATATTTACAACATGAAATAGCATCCCAAAACCGATAGTACAAGTCATAAACTCTATTGAGTTTGCTAGAAAGTCCCTAAATACAACCGTTCGAAATAGAATTAAATAGTACAAATACAATAACAGAAGGTGACTCCGAGGCCTGCGAACGCGATGGCATGTTTACCTTGAGTCTCCATAGCAGTGCTCGACCATCTAGCTAATAATCAACAATAACCGTGGCACCTGAATCTGCACAAAAATGTGCAGAAGCATAGTATGAGTATACCACAGCGGTACCCAATAAGTATCAAGACTAACCTCGGTGGAGTAGTGACGAGGGACAGTCAAAACACCTACCGGACTAAACAACCTGAACAAGTGTGAAGGTGAACTAACAGAAAAACAATCTTAATATAAAGCTAAGCAGGATAAAGAATGCAAAACAATACTAGCAATGATACACTAGTAACAACAATGTTCAACATGAAGCAGTCAGGTAATAATGCTGTAGAGTAAGCTGATCACAATCTAAGTCCGGTGAAACCAAATAAAGAAAAACCAGCGACAACTCAATAAGAACAACCGCTTTCACACCAGATCTGTTCAGGCATTTACTCGAGGTACCGAACCTCATAATCACAGCTCACGGGTCCCAATTCATGAACCCTAATCATTTGGCATCTTGTGCCTACATTACAACTCATAACCGCCCGAACGACTCACGTGCCAATAAAATAATCCTCACACAGAAGGCAAGTAGACAAGAGTACGTATAATGGTCAATAATGTCAGGATTCATCTTCT